GACAGACAGACAGACAGACAGACGAACACAGAGGCGATGGCATAAGCCCGCTTATATAGCTTTTAAGCAAAAGAGCGGGCTAAAAAAAGAAGGCACCTTACGTTGTTTACATTCGAAATGTCGTATCGTGTCTGTGGTCTTTTACTACAAATTACTACAAAAAATTAAACAAGCGTAAGTGAATATCATTTTTTTACGTTTCCTCTTTGTATTATCGCATTGTCAGTCTTGTTAGTAATTTCTTGTCGTGTAGGTTTTGTCTTCTGTGGACGTTTAGTGATATAGAGGCACAAGAGCATACTTGAACCAGAACTGCTGCCGTTAATCAAAGTCGGTAGGTAAGGAAGGTCCCAACTTCAAATTTCTCAGCGTGATTCGGTTAAATGGATTTAGAGTCGAGAAAAGATATCTAATTTCTGTCTTGTATTGTGGGCGAAGTATAGACTAGGTTAGTTTGGTTTAGGTTATCTTACTTAACCTCTCAGTTATGACTTGAAGCCTGAAGAAAAAATTGATTACATTACAACTCAAAATTTGTTTGTGTTTTCCACCGAACTTTTCTACTGTTGTTACACAGTGTTATTGTCAGTGCATTGTTTTGAACTCTAGATGAGGTTACGGTGAAAGGCTTGTCTCTCTGATAGAGTGTGTTTTTGAAATTATATTCTTGTCGTTACTTTTTCAAATTCAAATGGTTGTTATAAAAAGTCTAACCCCTTTTTATAACAATATTGCCTCCATATTCATAGTAATATAGTTTGATTTATTTTCAGGTGCTTTGGTAGATTGCAATAAGGAGGTAGCAGGGGTATTACCTTCTGCTGAAGAAGTCATTAAAAACTGGCTGATATATGCAGAGAAAAGACTGTTTATGTTTTTCTTTAAGTTGTGTTGCATCTAGTCATTGTTTTATTTTTGTTTTAAAGATTATGATTTATTTCTTTGTGTTATTGTTTTCACGTTTCATCAAATAAAGTCAACATTCTATTCAAAGAAACTGTTTCTCTCTGTAGTGGTTACCCTTTACCTAACTATATAAATTGCAGAGTTATACCTAAATTTGAGATTCAGATCTGCATGTAGGACATTTGTACGTGGAGACATTTACGTCGACGTCACGTTGAATCGACGTGATCAACACGTCGATAAATCGTGGATGAGATAGTCAAATTCACGTGGATAACACGTGAATTCATCACGTGTTTTCCACGTCTAACACCACGTCGATTCCACGTCTTTTCCACTAAAATTTCTCTCTGGGGTACCCTCGTAAAACTCGTAACCTCATAGGAGCACTGTTAAATCCTTACAAGCAAATTAGTTTCAAAGCTTCCGAAGCATTAATTTCGTAGCTTTGCAATACAAAGCAATTTGTGAATGCTTTGTAAGCTACAAATCATATGTTTTGTAATACGCAAATGCTTAGTCACTGTAAAAATTCTTTATCACTATAATGACAATACCATGGCTAATTTTTAGTACAGACGTGTCTCAAAACATTTCATTTGTAGCATACAAAACATTTACAAAATGCTATTTGTAATACTACTGTAAAAATTCTTTGTCATGATGCCAAGCTCACAGACGCACTATAAAATCATGCAAGCAAACTATTTTCTAAGCTTCCGAAGCATTTCGTAGCTTTGTAATACAATGCATTCCATAGTTGTATGGTTTTAACAAACAGATTTGTTGCAAGAAGCGTCATTTCGTTTCGCAAACTTTTGCAGTGGCAGTTCCTGCCTTCTTCGGGTTCGTGGCGATGGTGCTGCTGTGGGTGCGGGTGGCGGGACGGTGGATGGGGCTGTGGGTTCTCGTGGACGAACTGGAGGACCGGCTGTGGGGGCACGGGGTGCATCGCCTGCCGCGGCTGCACCGGCGCGCCCGCAACGCGTCGTACGCCATCGTCCTCGTTGCTATCGGTGCGGAATAGCACGGATAAGGAAAATTGACTCTTGAACCCACATTGATAAATACGGGATGACTAATTATTTAGCTACTTAGCGATACATTAAGCTATGATGAGCTACATAGCTAATTTTTTTAGCTCTTCATAGCTACTTTTTTAGTTCTAGGATCTGTAAATAAATAATTTTTCGACAGTGCAAAACACCAACGTGCTGGTGCGCAGGCTGCCCGCGTCGGGCCTGTACGAGTGGGCTCTGCTGGTCTGCAGCCTGTGCTTCTCTGTGGTGTTCAACTTCAACGCCCTGCTCCTCATCGTCCTGAGCTACGCGCTGGCGGAGTGCTTCCGCGCTTTCACGGTCGCACTTGAAAGCTCCGCCCAGAAGGTATCCGACAGGAAGGCCATTGGCCATTGTGAAGCAGGCGGGGTCAGAATACGTCCGGTACGCATCTTAACGCCCACGTCTATAGACTATAGTAGACCCAAAATCTCCGCAACAATCGGATTTCCAAAATCGGTCTCGTTTTACCCAGAACACGAATGAGGCATTCATTTTAACCACACCCAGAGAACCATTTAGTTGATAAAACTAAATCATGGTTGTAAGAAACAAAATTTAGTTCCTGAAACCGACTCAAATTTAGTAACCCCATTTTTAACCAAATATGGTCGCATCAATCAAATTAAGTCAGCTGGACTAAATTATTTCATCGCCACAGATAAATGTTAGTCCCCGGAGCTAAAATTTTTTGAATTTGGGTCTCTGGACTAAACGGTCTTCTGGGTGCAGACAACTAATGCGACATTTTGAATCGCCAGTGTGATGGTCGGATCCCGCCGGAGGCGATGGAGGACTTCAGAGTCTTATACAACAAGGTGTGCGGGCTATCGCTGGCCCTGGACCACTGCGTGAGCCCTGTAATTCTCGTAGCCATTTTCACGGATGGCTTATACATCTGTCGTTTTATCCTCCTATCATTGGCGTAAGGTTTTATTTCATACTAAGTTTACACTGTTAAAAAATCTTCTTTAAATAGTGATATTGTCGTTGTAAAAACTGTTTATTAAAACTCTAATACCAAACCCTTTTTATCCTACAATTTAGGATAAAGATACAGTTCGTCTTAATGTAATTTTCTTCCGTTTTAAACTTTGGTTTCTAACTGCAGATTTTTTTGACAGTGTAGAAGTGTAGTCCCTCCGTAAAGTGCGAGCTCAGGACCTGGTTGCTTACCGCACGCTCCTCTCTTCATGCAGGGTCTCGGCTCAGAACTGGAGTTCGACCATGTTGGCGACCATCTCCCTCTTCCGGTTCGTCTGGACGATACTCGCCGCTTCATCAGTGCACAGTGAGTGGCAATCTACCAAATCATGTCTACATGGAATAGTCCCGTGCAGGAGGGGAGTAGAGGTACGGAAGATGCTCTCTGTATTTATAATATATATTTTGAAATCTATTCGTGGTTAAATCTTTATGAGCTCCTCAGCAAATTTTAGGGATCCTTACTTTTATGTTCTATCAGGCCACACGTTTCTTCACGCAGATCGTCACTGAACGAATTTCTCTGACAGCTTTGGAAATGGTACCAATCACTAAACCCCTACTGCCTGCGGTAAATATTTTTAATTTTTTTAATTGTTGCGAAAGAAACTCTTTGACCTCTCCTCCTATGTTTTTGTTGCTTCGTTATCATGCCAGTTCTCTTTAACGCTTGCCGTCTGCGCTCTTATCTTTACAGGTGTTGGGCGCTATACTTTCATATGAGATTATCCTCGTCCAATTCCAACTACAAAAGTTGAAGCTAGTGTTAAGTCATTAACTAACACAGTTAAGAATCTGCCCTTCCACAACACTCAGTCCTACCTAGCGTTAGATTAAATTTTCCGTCCACACAATAAGGAAAACATATGTGAACAAAACGAGGTCAACCCATCAAAAACGAGGCACATTCAAACAAATAACTCAATACAAATAATAATAAA